GAACCTACTGAATCTGGCAGACACACACCACCTACGCTGAAACTTTGTTGAGTAGCAGCAGATCACCCCTACTATTAGGAGAGCATTGGAGAGGACTATGCTGATCCACATTGTAGAGAAGGCATCAAACATGTGAAACACAAACCATCTACACTGAAAATTTGTTGAGTACCAGCCATTCACTGATATTACTAGTGAGAATCTTGGTGAGGCTTACGCTGCTCCCCACTCTGGGAGAAACCTTAGTGATACACACCCCACTGCTTTCCCAGCACTGTTAAGTCTGAGTGACTATAGGAAGTTTTAAAAATGTCAAAATACAGAAGCAAAAGTCAATTTAAATCATCCATTCCACCCAGAACAAATCCAGGAGACAAAGATATAGAAGAACTTGAAAATCACAAACTTGAAATTTCTAGAACGATAGAAACTAAAAAAAAAAAGAAACAAGTTCATGAGACTATATACGAAATAATATCAGAAATAGTGTCTCAGGTAAAAAAAGAAATGACAACAATAGTAAAATAATTGCCTCAACACATCTAAAGACATAGATTCAAAAATAGAGAAGAGAAAAATTATGGAAACTCTGAATGAACAATACAGGAAAGAATTAGAATGCAGGAAACAAATACAAACAAATATTCAGGAAATTATTAATTTTATTAATAACTAATTAGCAAAGCCATTGAATAAGTCAAATGAGGAAATGTGAAGAAGTTGTGTATACACAGGAGACACAAGGGCTCAGTCCAGAGTCTGGAATTCACTGTAGTGTTCCATGCCAGTCCATATCTGGAGGCTGATGAGTCTATGATGAAAGTCAGCTGAAGAAGTGTGCTAGAAACCAGGAGATAAAGTCCAAACTTAAGGTGATGATTGAAGCTCATCTGAAGGGCTGAAGGCTGTTTTCCTTCCTCATTTCCCTTTTATATCATCCCAGAGATGAGCCACCCTAGGACAGGTACTTACAACTCAGGACGCATGATAGCTGAGATGATTTAGTTAAGCTTCTAAACTTCTCAAGTTGACACAATCAGTCAATCAATCAAGCAAGCAAGCAAGCAAGCAAGCAAGCAAGCACTACATGCAACATGTAGTCTATTGTGTCTAGCATAGTTTTTGTTAGTTTTCTTATATTTGAGACAAGATTTTGCTAAGTAATGAAGTTCCTGTTGAACTCACTATGTATCCCAGAATAGCCTTGAACTTGCAGTCCTTCTGCCTGAGTTTCCCAAGTTCTGTGGTACAGGAATGTTACCCTAAGCCTAGTTTGCATAATGTAGTAAGGTTTCACTTATGGTATAATAAATATCAATTGTTCAAAATAAAATCATTCACACACCCAAGAGATGCACATTATGGATGTACTATGAACACAGATGCACACATAAACATAAATAACAGTGATGACACAGCTATGGTACAGAGCATCCATGTATGTAATATTATACCATCACTTAAAATTTTCAGAATTATTTAATCATTGAAGAGTTAGGATTATATATTCACAATTATATGCCAAATAACTCTTCCCAAGTCTAACTTAATTTTCATAACATTTCTAGGAAATAGTTATTTTATTACTGTCCACTTATATCTTACAGTGCTGCACACTCTGGTCAATTTGTGTATATAGCATGCTCAAATTTATACAAGCATGTGGGCTGACTGAATTCTAACCTTTAAGCTCTAACAATTGATCCAAACTGTTTTATACTACCGCCATGAAATAAGAAAAAATATCACTAAGTTCAAACAGGTCAATTCCAATGAACAACTCAACTCAGTAAAATGTGGGCCTTTATTAAAAATAGAATAAAATTCATCTAAATATGTGTAGAATTAAGAGATTTTACAATCATGTTGCCTTATTTTGTACTTACAGGACATTTACTTTAATTAATATGAAATAATTTCTTTTTTGGTGGAACTGGGATTGAACTCAGGCCCTTGCACTTTGCAGGCAAGCACATGTTATATTGAGCTATCTCCCCAGCCACGGTAATTTATTTTTAATTGATAAATGATCATAGAAGTTGTGCATACTAATGAGATATCATGCAATGATTGAGTACATTTATATAGCATATTATTCAGAATGATCATATTGATCTCCTCAAACATTCATCATTCCTTTATGGAGGAACCTCTTACAATCCTTTCTTTCATCTTCTTGAAATCCATATGCATTTTGTTCTCTATGATCACTTTACTGTATAATAGCAAACCAGGGATTTTGGCTCCTATCTATATGTAACAGTATACAGTGCTTAGATTCCTCCATCCCTTACCTGATGTCCTAACTCTGTTTCCAAAACCTTTGATTTATTTTATACCTGTATGAGATAAAACTGAAAAATAACCTCTTTTACTGTTATGAATGAAGCAATTAGGGTACTAGATTATGTTTGGAGACGAACACAAAGTCAATTAGCTAACTTCCAAAAACAGAAATATTCCTCAATATCATGTCATACATAACCAATCATTTTATCTTTAAGCTTCAAAATGTAACTCATAGCTTTTTACATGTTTTTTTCTCCTAAAGAGAGTTTAAAATAAACTTGTAACTACAGCATATTTACATATCCAAGTGAATGAAATAATTCTCCCCTCACTAAAATATTAATTTTTACTAGCACATAAATACATGAAAATGATACATATTATGGAGTATTACTAGATGCTATTGTATGTATATGTATTGTGTGTGTTTAAATCCGGTACAGGTAAACAAAGATATAAGCCCTTAGCAATTATTGAAACACTTCCAGACAGGCTTAGAAAAGTGGAAAGCAACTGTTTGGTTCTGTTTGCTTTAATTATATTACAATGGCCCTTGTTTATGATATCCTAAATAGCAATAAGTATTTTACTAATTTCTTTAGAACTTTAACCACTAGAAAATATTTCCATTGAAATACAAACAGCAAGAACAGGGACAGGAATTTGATCCCCAGTACCACATGCGGCACTGGGGCTCCCTTCAGGAACACTGAGCCAGTGACTGAATAAATGTGGTGTCACATGCCTCTAATTCCAGGGCTGGGAGGCCCAAAATAGGAGGATCACTATGAG